CACATGGCAGTGCTTCAGACTCACTAACGACCTACCAAGTCTCTCCTAGGTGCCCAGCCCCATGCAAGGCCTGGCCCCGGGGCTTTCACGACTCTTCTGCAGCTCTGCAAGGCTGGGGTAGCTCCTCGATTTGCAGATGAGAAAACGGAGGCTCACAGAAGGACAATGGTGTATGCAAGGCTAACCCAATGTAATGTGAGATGACAGCCCCCCTGAAGTGTTCTAATTAATTAACTGAGAAATAATTAGAATTCAAAGGGGGGGAAAGATAGTGAAAAATATTCAAATTCTTGAAAATGACAAAAATTTTGAAAGATACATAAAGCATTGCAAAAGCAGTCCCATGGGACTCCAAGATTACTAATTCTTTAAAAGCTAGGGACATGGCTGGGACATGATCATTTTGGGCCACATCATGCGATTGCCCAACTTTGTGTTTCGAAAAATTTCTCCAAGAACTCTGTGGCTTGCCTTTCAATGCGCGCCTGTCCTTGGTGGTTCCCCTCTGGCCCTTACTCTGAGGTCAACACCAGGATGAGTTCTCTAGAAGTTCCTCCAGGAGTTGAGCATTTCTTTATTTCTCAGGATCCTGAGAACCTGGTAATTCCCCAGTCGACTAGAGAAGTGCTGCTCAAGTGTGGTTCACTGGCAGGTACTGGTCTGTGATCCAATGCGCACAGCAAGTGAGAATATTAGAAACTTGTAGAGCAAGTTGACATTGCTGCTCATCTAAGTGTGTGATCATATTTCTAGTAATTTATTTTTATAGTACCCGGAAGTATCGGGCTACAATGGATTCGAGCGCTAAAAAGAAAAATTAAAACCTGGGTACTGGCCGCAGATAGTTTGAGGAGCCCTGAGCTAGCAGAAGGCAGCGGTTATGTCCTCTCTCTCACGGGGCCTTTGAGGCTGTCCTGCTGTCAGGAAATGGAAGGTAACCCTCGAGCCATGGGTGACATTTGCCTTCATGTTGGTCTTTGTGGTGGTCTTCAACACCCCCCCCCCAATCCCTTGAGACAAGTTCTCCATTGAGTGGTTTCCTTGTGACCTCTCAAGGAAGTCCTAGTCAACCTCCTGGTGGCTCTGGGATGGTTTCCATCAGGTGGGGAAGGGCATATTAGACACCAGTGCTGATTTCCTTAAGTATGCTTTGATTTCACCGTGTTTTTCTTTTTAAAGAAAGTCCGCCTGTCAGAGTGGATGTGTGGATGTCACCGGGGAAAAGGAGACCTTTGGCCCTAAGGAAAGGGAGACCCAGGTGTGGTGCCCTGGCTGGGGGACGTGGCCAGCGGCCGGTGCCGTAGAGCAACTGAGCAGGCCCGCGGCTGCACCTGCATGTTCCGGCAACCCTCCCAGCGACCTCGCAGCCCTCGGCATGCTTCAGTAATAGCGAGGAAGCTCGGTGGTACAAAGTGCTTATTAGCTAAGTGGTTAATAAGGTCTCATTAGGAACTTGTATTCAAAGACCCAGAAAGTGTAGTCTCAATCTCTGCTAATGCAGGGGCGGCAGTAATTGTGCGTGGGAATCTTGGCATCACCAGGGTGCCTTTCTGGGAGAGTCCCATGGAGCCAGTTCACACACTGGGCCAGTGGAGACAGCCACACAGGGTCTGGGTGGGCAGTACAGAGATTGAATCTGACCTCCCTTCTCCGTCCCCTCGTTATTGTGACATAAACCCAGGAAGTACTTTGTATTCTGCAGCCCCTCTGTGAGGGGCCAAGTTGGGGCCCAGAGCAGGGGACGGGCATCAGGCAAACAATGGCCTATTGTCCTGAGCCAATGCACCTGAACCTTTCCTGGAAGCAGGAGCCAGGTTTCTTGGCATTTGTAGCCTCCTGAAAATGGCAGAGAGTGTGGTTAGAAGCAGAATCCTGGTGTCTCCAAGGCGCAGCTAGCCCCGGGCACGGACAGGAGCAGGGGCTGGCCTGGCAGCTGGTGCCTCTGGAGAGCAAAGTCTGATGAAGTCTTGTCTGCTCAAGTCTGAGGGATCAGACACCCCTGCAGGCCGTAGCTGCGGCCTCGGCAGCCCCCAAGAGCCACCGTGGTCTGGAGTGACCACTCCAGTTGGTTCTCGTGTTGGGCTTCCTAAGTGAGAGCGGGAACAAAGGTCTCCTGGGCCTTGTCACTCCCACTGGCCTGCTTGGCGCCCTCTCCCTGTTCAGCCCTGTTTCGTGCCTGTGCTTTCGCCAACTCCAACAAGGTCCTAAGGGTAAGTTCTGCTACCAGGAGTTGGGGACCTGTGCAGGCCTCCTGTCATTGGCTTTGTGGTTCCCTGAACTTCTTGCTTTATATTTGAGGCTGTTATCAGATTAGATGTGGCCTCCCAAGCGCAGTCTTGGGTTTAGATGGAGGGCATTATTTCACCCACATAAAGTTACTGTCGTTTGTTGTGGTGATGGCTGTCAACCCCTGCCCAGAGGCCCTGCAGCCCACATTGCTGCTCTCTCTGGCCACATCTCCCAGAAGCCAGATTTAGAGGCTGAGAAGGGTCTGGAGCCTCCTTCTGGAAGCATCAGGAATGGTGCTTCTAGAGTCTCGTACTGTGCATATCTACCCCCCCCCCAAGAAGAGCTGGCGGCATTCCCAGGGTGGGCTTTCAGAGCTGTTGGGGAAGTGGGGAGCGTGTTGGGGCTTGCTGAGGGGCGTATATGTGATTGTGCCGTGCTCTGTCTGGGCTGTCCGCTGCCACCCCTTCCCTAGCTCCTTGACACCTTCGTGGGGACCCAGGCGTTCGCAGATGCACTCCGGAGCACAGGCACCCGCAACCCAGCATCCGGGGATGTTCCTAGCCCCACACAGAGCTGTGCCTCCCCCTCAGCACCGGCTCTGGAGCTGCCGCAGCGGCTCCCCCCAGGGGAACGCCCCCACCCCGGCCCGTTCCACACTCTGCTCTTGTTGGCAAGACAGGTGCAGTCCTGCTGGGAGGGACCCAGGTCACACCCAGACACCACTCCCTGGGGTCTGGGTGCTGCGGGGCAGCTGGGGCAGGCCGACTGTGGAGGAAGAAGGGAGAGAGTCATCAAGGTGTGAGGCAAAAACAGTGTTCTCCCTCACTCTCACACCACTCGCCTCTGGTCACCAAAATATTGTGGGGATGTTTCTCCCACCAGCAAAATCTGTAGACAGAATGTTTGCCCTGAGTTCTGTGAGCTGTCCTGGCAAATTAATCGGACCCGAGGAGGGAAGCACTTACTTGTGTTTACTGGTATATCGTGAAGGAGACAATGAGAGAGACGGATGACACCCGGATGGAGAGGTGCGCGGGTGGCGCCTGTGGGGCGGGCGCGAGGCTTCCCTGCCCTCCAGGGCTCCACCTTCCAGGCACTCCACCTGTCCAGCTACCCAGAAGCTTCCCAAACCCCGGCGTTTTTGGTTTCTATGGAGGCTTCGTTACGTCAGTGTGCTTGATTCAATCGCTGGCTGTCAGTGGTGGATCAGCCTCAGCACCTCTGCCTATGCCCGGTCAGGAGTGGCTGAGAGTGCCAACCCTTAACCATGGGTCGGTTCCCCTGGCAACCAGCCCCATCCCCAAGCTATCCAGGAGCCTAAGAGTCGCCTCATTAGAGTGAAAGGTGCTCCTGTCACCTAGGAAACTCCCGTGGACTTAGGAGTGATAATGCCAGACATTATCACTCTGCAAATTACAAAGAGCTCTGAGGTCTGTCTCGGGAACCAGGGGGCAGAGACCAGTTACATATTTCTTACTAGATCCCAGTATCACACAAGGTAATCTTGGCCCAGCCCCTGCTCAGTGCCGGGCACTCTGACTCACACTGTCTCCAGCAGTCCTTCCCACAAATCCACGAGGTAAGTCCAACTGTCCCCATTCAACTAAGCGAGGGAACTGAGGTCAGGGCAGCGTTTTGTACTGAGTCTCAGCACCAGCTCGAGGTGGAGCTGGGTCCCCACCCTCCCCCGCTGTGCCAGCCCCACTGCTCCCTGCACAGCCGCCTACAGTCCCTGAGGAGGACGGGCTCTGCAGGAGGGCACTGCCACCACCCAGTCTGCGAAGGCTCGCCTCCTGATTTCTCTCTCCTTTGCTTGGCTTCTCCGATGCACTGGCCTTGAAGGCGACAGGCCTTTTTTGGTGATGATTTGGCCTGAGCAATGCAATTCCCCTCTACCCGAAGGAGAGTGGCTGTGAAGGGCCAGGGCCCCAGGGCCAGGAGATCTGAGTGCTGTCCTGAATCTTGCATATATTTGCTAAGTGGCCTTGGGTAGACCCCTTCCCCTCTCTGGGATTCATTTGCACCATCTGTGCAAGGAGAGGCTGGAGGAAGTCCTGAAGGCTTTGTACCCACGATGTGTGTAGTTCTGACAGTCAGCTGGTTTGCCCAGGGCCACAGGGATTTCTCTCTTTTGATTTTTAATTCTTTCTTTTCTGATTTTGTTATTGTATTAAAATATACATAACATAAAACTTACCATCTTAACCTTTTTTTAAGCATGGTTCAGAAACGGGATCTTACAATGTTGTCCAGTTTGATCTCGAACTCCTGACCTCAAATAGTCCTCCCACCTTGGCCTCTCAAAGTGCTGTGATTATAGGCATGAGCCACCGATCCTCGCCAAGTGTGTAGTTCAGTAGTATTAAATACATTCCTAATGTGTAACCATCACTATGATCCATCTGTACACTCTTTCCATCTTGTAAAACTGAAACTCTGTCATTAAACAACTCTCCACTCCCCTGCGGGCAACCCCCACAACTGCCATTCTACTTGTTGCCTGTATGATTTTGACTGCTCCAGGTACCACACACAAGTGGAATCAGACAGTATTTGTCCTTTCACAGCCACAGGGTTTTATTTCTCTCCTTTTGTCCATCTCCAAATTGCTGCTGTTCGCTCCTGGCTGGTCGTGCCTCTCCCGGGACGTGGGCTGCTGTGTGCATGTGGGCGTGGAGCTCTTGCCCACGTCCAGCCTGTTTGCGGTTTCCCTCTGGGTGCTAATGGCTTCTACCTTTGTCCCTGTCTCCTCTGCCTCCGCTCTCGGTTAGCTGACAGTAGGGAAAGTGTCCAGCGGCATAGGGGCTGCGGCTGAAGTCCTGGTCAATCTGTACATGAATGATCACAGACCTAAGACCCAGGCCACCTCTCCAGACCTGGTAAGGACACGTGCCCCTCAGCCTTCACCCACAGACACTCGCTCTGGCCTCCCAGGGAGGGTGCGTGGCATGGCCCAGCCTCCCAAGGCTCCCTTTCTCGTGGGGCAAGAGGGGGCTGAGGACGGGCTAGAGCAGAGCAGATGTTAGAAGGAAGCTGCATTTCCTTGAAGGCAAACCTCACTCTGGTCCCTTGTGGATCATTTCCAAGACAGAGCATCTTCTCTGCTGTCTGGGCTTCTTGGGAACTGCTCAGTAGAAAGGCCCAGGTGAAGCCATCCATAATTGGGTGTCCCTAACTTTCCATGTGTAGTGTCTAACCTGAACAGCCCCTTTGCACTGGATTGAGAAATAAGTAATGGGAAAAACACCCCTTGGATTTGAATTCTCCCTTTCTCCAACCTAAGCCACTTGCTGTGATCATCACTTCTTCTGGTTTCCTTTTGGCACGTTCCCCTGGAATCTCCCAGGTGTCCCCTACCTGGGCCCATGCCCTCCCTCTTGGCATTTAGGAATTTAGCTGAGCAGACTGGATGCCACAGGGACAAGGACGTGTCAAACATCCCCAGTGGGCGGGTATCAGTGACCTCTCTCTGGAGCCGGGTGACACTTACCCCCGGGACAGATCCCAGAGAGAGTGTCACTGAGCAGACACGTCTGAGTGATGCCCACTCTGTCATATCAGACAGTGTCACCCCCACCCCAAAGCCGGAGCAGCCGGCCTGGGGGGCAGCCCCTCCCAGGCGCACCGTGCTGCTGCCCGCCTGCGTGCGGGTGCCCGCGACCGCAGCCCCTGCAGGGCGGGCTCTGTGCCTGAGCGGATCTTCCCACCCCCCACTCTTTGCTGCAGTGACAAGGGCAGCAAATAGCAGTGCACAAGGTCCCCAGGATTTAGTGCCTAATTCTAAAAGCCTCGGCCTGGCATTTGAAAGCGGAGGTAAGCCCTAACACTCCGCTGTTTCCTCCCAATCCCCAGGAATCTACGCGGAAGCTGTCATTTCCCATGAACCTGGGTGGCAGCGACACCTGCTACTTCTGCGAGAAGCGTGTGTACGTGATGGAGCGGCTGAGCGCCGAGGGCCACTTCTTCCACCGCGAGTGTTTCCGCTGCAGTGTCTGCGCCACCACCTTGCGCCTGGCTGCCTACGCCTTCGACGGCGAGGAAGGTAACCCCAGGGCCAGGGCAGCGCTGGGTTCTGGCCTCGGCCTCAGACGTACCTGGGCCTGGGTCCCTGTCCCTCTAGCGGCTCTGGCACACCCAACACATCCCCAGCAGGGAGCGTGACGTCACAAAAGCCGTTCAGAGACACCAGGGGCTCTTGCTAGACGGAGAGCCTGGTCTGGGGGAAGGGGAAGTGTTGGCACCTGCTGTATACCAGGCACTGCTGGGCACCTACTGTGTGCCAAGGGCTTTATGTACATTTCCTCATTTAGCCTCACCACCACGCCTCGTCCTGGTGTGGTCCAGAAAATCAAACGTGATAACCCGTGTGGCACGCTTGGCACCACGCCTGGCATGTGATAAAGGTTTTCATTAATGATGACATATTCATATTCTTCATAAAGTACATATTATGAAAATAGCCAGAATAACATCCACTCTGATCAGTGGCCTAAGAGAGAGATCATTGCGGAAGGAATTGTGCTCATTAGAACGAGTGACCGTTTTCTGATATTTGCGCTGTCATGTATGAGAGGCAGCATAGCATGGGGCTCTCAGTTATATACCCTCAAACTGAACTGCCTGGGTTCAAACCCAGCCTGCACCCCTTACCAGACACATCATCCTGGGCCTGTTGCTTAACCTCCGGGCCCCTTGGTTTGCTCATCCTCAAAATGTGGTTAATAGTAACGCTTGGCTCTTAAGACTGTTGTGAGGATTGACAAGTCCATTCACACGAAGCATTTAGAATAGTGTCTGGTATACAGTAAGTCCAACCTAAGTTTCCCTGTTGGTGTCATTCTTACCATCACTATTGTTACTAGCGCAGCAGTGAGCAAGGAAGGCTTTTCTGGAAGGTGCCTGGTGGCCCTGGGCAGTGGCCGGTGTCCTGGTGTGTGCCCTGTGTGGGTCTTTCCCTCCCCAACGCTGCCACCACTGCTCTCAGCCTTCCCCAGAAAGGAGGACCGAGGGTGTCGATATTCCCAGCTGTCCATTTTGCTGCCTGGCAGCTGGTCTTGTAAAGAAATTGGCCTCAGTTTAATTAAGATTTTGTGTGTGTGTGCTGACCCAATTATTGTAAAGGACACAGAGGGAGGAGGTGCGTAGGGTGAGGTGTGGCAGGTGGGGCTCAGAGCCCCCGTGCCCTCTCCAGGTGCAGGCCTGCCACGCAGGAGCCTCCACGAAGCCACCTATCTGGAAACTCTACTTGGCTGAGAGTTTTAGCTCCGTCCCCAGACGCCGCTGCCTCATCTCAGCACCACTGTTTTAAGGCCAGCGACAGAAGGTGCAGTCCAGGTTTGAGCCATCCTGGGCTTAGGTCCACTGTTGGTGTTTTCTGACTCAGATAGTGGCAGGGACTTCTGCTTGTGTTTACGTTGGTGCTGGTTTACAGGAGAGAAATATTCATGTGTGTGTGTATGTGCCTCTCTTCTTACAGGCAAGTTTTACTGCAAGCCCCACTTCATTCACTGTAAAACCAGCAGCAAACAACGGAAGAGACGGGCAGAGCTGAAGCAGCAGAGAGAGGTATGTGTTGTCCCGAGAGTGCCGGTGAGACAGGGAAGACCCCTTGAGAGGAGAAGTTTCTCCAGGGTTCCTCAAAGTTAGGCCACCTTGTTTGCCCTAGAGGGATTAAAAGCACTCACATATAGAGAAGAGAGCTTCTATTTCCTGTGTGGATGGGTCCTCGGCCTCGGTCTGTTCCAGGTGCCGGCTCCCAGGAGAGGCTGTGCTGGCTTCCCACAAGAAGCCCAGAAAGAGCCTGCCCAGGTGCCAGGGGTGGGATGCTAGGCTCGGCCACGCAGAGGCCACGTGGTCCCTCTGTGCCTGGGGCCCGCCTGGCCTCAGGCTGCCGCCTGCGGGAGTACCTGGTGTGGGGTTGGCCGTCTGTGGTTTCCAAGTCCTCTCCCAGGCTCTTGAAGTCAGCCGGGTGACCACCACCCATGACCTACAACTTGAAACTTTTCTCTGATTACTCAAGTTACATAGGCTACTTGTAGAAAACTGGGGAAATAAAGTATACAAAGGAAGAAAGTTATATCAGCTATAATTACCGCAATTCACATATCGTAATATCCCCTTCCGGACTTATTCCCATGCGAATATAGTTTAACCTAGATGGAATCCTATCTTTACAGTTTTATAACCTCCTTTTTTTCACTAACAGTGTATCAAAAGCAATTTCCCATGACGTTAAAAATTCTTTTGAAGCATAATTTTTGATGCCTGTAAGAGATTCTGTTTTATGGATGGTCAGTATTTTACTTCACTGGTCACATGTTATTGGACCTTATGTTTGATATTTTTATCTCACAAATATTGTTTCAATGCACGTCTTGGTACGCGTGTCATTATCCTTATGTCCGGTTATTTACTTGGTGTATATATCCTTAGAAGTGAGATCGCTGATCCAAGGGTGTGTATATATATTTCGAAGAATCATGACCGCCGTGGTCACTTGGCCCCCCAGAAAAGTTGCGCCCTGTGCAGCCCCCGCTTCAGCAGCAAATGGGGGGCTGGTTGTGGAACACAGGGTTTGCCAAGTCCGAGTGTTTTGGCTCCCTTGGTCTGCTTCACTGGAGCAGCCCTCCGTGAGACTCGGGGACTGAACGCCCTCATTTTGATCTCGTTCTCAGGAGGAGGGGACGTGGCGAGAGCAGGAAGCCCCTCGGCGAGACGCTCCCTCCGAAAGTTCTTGCGCCGTGGCCGCCATCAGCACGCCGGAAGGCAGCCCTCCAGGTATCTCCACCTCCTCCTTTAGGAAGGCGCTGAGCTGGTCTCTCCGGCTGCCCAGGGCCCTGCTCGACCTTCCCGAGAGGCTGCTTAACTGGATGCGGGCGGTGCTGCAAGCCGCGGGCCTCCATTTCAGGGACAATGCTGCCAACTACTGCTACACCTACGAGCTGCTGAGCCTCGGGCTGCCGCTCCTCTGGGCCTTCTCTGAGGTCCTGGCAGCCATGTACAGGGAGTCCGAGGAGTCCCTCGAGAGCATCCGCACCTGGGTGCTCAGGTGCCTCCCGGTCAAGCTTCAGTGAAGCACCTGGCTGCCCCAAAGTGCCTTAACGTTTCCAGAGTCAGCCGGCAACGGGCCTGTCGCTTGCCAAGGCTCTGGCCGTGAGGCCTCGCGTCCTTTAACCAAATCATAGCTGAAAGCCAAAGCGTTTCACAGTGGCCACCTCCGCCTGGCCTTGTCAGGGTGAACATCTACTCACGGTGCTCGGGCCAGGGACAACATGAAGGATGTTTTTTATAGCTTTATACTTTTTTATACCAAAGCGAGCCATATTTCTCGGTTTACATTTCAAATTTTAACTTCTAATAAGCCAAGAGAAAACTTTTTTTTTTCTATGAGTGTCAATTTTTCTAAACACAAGTTTGCCGTGTATAGCCAGTGCCACACGAACCCATCGACATTCTAGTGAGTTGTAATAGCCACTGCCTGCAAAGTTAAGGATGGCGATTTTATATGCACAAAAGTGAGCGTGCCTTCTCCTCACCGGTGCCTTTTGACTTATGTACCCAGATGTCACGGGTCAACAGCAGGCAATTTTTTGCAACATGGAAGTCTAATTATTTTAGAAGAAAAGAGTATAGAACAAAATAGAATTAAACCTACAAAAGCACATAGCATATGTAGTTGGCTGTTGGCTGTCCTCCCAGAGGGAGGAAGACTGTTTTTGATATAAAATACCAGCTTGAAGACTCTATCTCCTATACCAAATCACAGCCAAATGACAGAGAACCACGGGTTTCAACCAGATTGCCACAAGCATACATTTCCCTTCCCACTAATGGGCACTGCAGAGAAAGCCCACTGGACTTGACCGTAGAGAGCTCCATCAAGCTGATGCAATGCTAAAGATGAGATATTTCAGCTGGTGGCATTTTATAACCCCTGGAGCTGTCGCTACTGGGTCCCCGAGCCCAGGCTGCAGGCTGAGCCAAGGCCACTCAGGGTGCATAAGGGTCAGGCTGAGTCGAGTGGAAGACTCTGCCCTCTCACGTGGTGTCTTTTGAGACCGAGGGCATTGCTAGCACATCAGGCTATGGCAGGGAAATGTGGCCTGTCCACGGAGCATTGCCTGTGAATATCCTGGCTGCTTAGCGGCTCCACGGCCAGGCGCACATGGTCAGAACAGTCAGAAACCACTTTCACACTGCCCTAGCAAAGGAATGTGTCTGACCTCCACGGGGAAGCTCTGCTGTATCTTGACTGGCAGGGAAGTCTGGGAGTAGAAGCTGTTTATGGACTGACCCAAAGGAAGTTTGCCCTAGCAAGGGCATAAACGAGCATCAGGCCCACCTACATTCTCCACCGGGAATATCTGGGAGAGCCCTTGGCTGTCCCCATGCCACTCTGCCCAGGGTGTCCCCACGCCACTCTGCCTGGACATGCACAGCTGCAGGGTCTGGTTGAACAATCGGGAGACTGAGAGAGAAAGGCCTTCTACGGTGCTCAGTGTGTCCGGATTTGTGGGCCCGAGATAGCTCTACGCAGTAGTTATCACTGGTGATTCTTCTGGATTAGCTAAGGAGGGGCCTGGTGCGGGTTAGGAGCCAGAGTCTCCACAGCTTTGAGATGACAGGTTTCTGTAGAGCAGAAAGAAAGGGTGGTGAGTTCCTACAAACACTTCTCTGAAATCCTTGAGAAAAACAGGGGAATGGCCTTGGCCAAGTCTGTGGGAACCGGCGCCTGCGTCCTTGTTGGAACTGTTCTCAGTCTGATGACTCGCATTGCGTTTTTTCCAATTTTTGCTGGGATTTTTAATGTTCAGCATGGTAGGTGGAGCCCTTGATTCCTTTTGTGTTTGATTATAGAGAGTAAATTCTCGAGATGATGATGTGAACAGCCGTGTTATTGTCATTATAATCAGCTCAGGGTCGGCTGAGATGTTGTGTGGAATGTTCTATGAAGCCAGAGTTGGAATCTCTAAGAATGTCATATATGGCCAGAAGGAGCCTGGTGTGAATCACTCTGGTGAGAGGGGTGTGTCTAGCAGAAGTCTGAGGTTTTTGTATGACATGTTCTGAGACCTCGAACCTTCCTGGTGGACAGCACCAACACACACAGGTGATCCCAGGGGGAGGGGCCTCTCTCCAGGCCTCCATGGCATATTTGAGACTGAGTAGGAAGACACCAGAGGATGGGGGGGGGCAGAGAGGGAGGTCCCGAGGGCATTTGTGGCTCTAGGTGGAGTGCAGGATGGTGCTGGCAGTACCCAAACTGCATGTGTCCACCCTTGTAATGAAGTAACTGGTCACTACCAGAAAGGTTCGTGTCTCCTAAGCAAGCAGTGACTTGTTTGGGGTAGGTTCCCCCTTTGTTAACGATTGCCTTATTTTCAACTCTGATGCCTTCTCGCATTGTCATCCGTTTTCCTTTTGTCCCTCACTAAGTTCTCTTTTCTGTCTTTCTCTCTCTTTGCAACCTCACACTGTGGCCGTCAGTGCATTTCAGCCTTCCAGTGCTACACCCACTTCTTGGCTGACACACTTCTGCTCTGAGGTGACTGGTTTTCTTGCCAATTTCCAGAGAGTGGTACTAACCCCTAACCCGCTTTCCGCACCCCGTCTTCCCCGCCCGCCGGTGCTGCTGGTTGCGCTAACTGTGAGTGTCTCACACCCTCATGGACTCATTCGACGGCATGGTCGGTTAACAGCGCGGGTGGTGTTCAGCGTGGTGTTCAGCGCGAGAGCCGCGTGCTGCCTGCCCCTCCCCCTGGAGCCGGCAGTGTGGTCCACACCAAGTGCATGCCCCGCCTCTCCTCTGTCCCCGGGCCTGCCTGCCTGCATGCTTTTCCAGGTGTGCCTGCAAAGCCACTTACCTTCTTGGGAGGGTCAACCCTAACGATGAGACAGAACCATAGGGAGGGCTCTGTCCCCTTGGAAAAGAGCACTTTTGTCTAGCAGTCTCTGAAAAAGCTCATGCATACCAGCATCTTCTTAAATTGATTCTAATATAAAGATTACTTATGTCACTAATCAAAACCCATAGGTGGTTTTTTTTTCTGGAGGGGTTTTAAAAAAACATTTACTCCCTGGCTTCATCCCGAGCCTGACCCATGCTCTGTAGTTTGAACACATAATCAATCGCAATTACTCCAGTAACTCCTCTCTCTGTTGCAACCTGCACCATAGATGCGAAGGTTTTGCTGTGGCTTTTCTTATCTCCCTTGGCTTGTAAAGCCCCAAATGATTCAGGAGCTTCAAACAGAGCAATCAGGAACCCAGACAGGGATGTCTTTGAGTAGTGACTCAGTTCAGCCCCAGGCCTGGAGCCACCAGTTTAAACGCCCCTGTGGCTCTGCTTAACACACACATTCTGCTGACTCATTCACCTGGAGCAGCAGGACGGTCAACATGCTCTTAAAGGGAAACCGCTGGCCCAGCACAGTGCAGCTGTGGTTGGCCAGGAGGCCTCGCGGTCTCACGTCCTGCATGTGGTCCCAAGCCGAGCCTCCCACCCCCCGGCCTGTCTGCCCAGTGCTGCATGCTGCACCCCTCGCTGCGTCCGTGCAGATCCTGGCCAGTACGAAGTCGTTGCTCTTGTCTTATCTTCTCTTGCAGAGTCTCCCTCCCTTTCTAGAATGTCAACCAAAGAGTGGCCTCCTCCCCTCTCAGCCTCCTCTCTAGCTAGGCTCCCAATCTCACCACAACGCATGTCTGTGACCTTTGGTGATCATTTACAGTGCCACACGGAACCCTGTATTTTGCACACAGCAAAACAATGTTTAGCTTTATTTATGGTATTTGATGCTGTAAATGGAAATAAATATGGTTCTTTATAAATCTCATTGTTTCCTCTCTTCTTTGCCACGGAGGCTTCTAAACCCTCAAACACAGGGACTGGTTGAAGGGAGTCTGTTTTCCCTGGACTGCTGGCGGGACTTGCACTTGTGGTGACACAGGGCTCTCTGGGTCTGCACTGGGGCATTCTGAAAAGAAATATTACCTGGAGGTAATATTTGGAAAATGTCACCAACGCTCCTGGGCCAGGCTTTGGGTTCTCTTTCCTGACAACTAATCATATCTCGCTGTTCTAGATGCTGGGCATCATGGGTGAGGGTCCATGTCCCTTCTGCTGTTGAGAACAGACCGTTGACAGCAGCCTGCACCCATTTCCCCACACACCCAAGCGTGGCTCTATAGGAGACCTTTCCTTATCAGCCTTATGCTAATTTAGGTTCCTGCATAGCAAGGTTGGTCTGGAGCACCTCGTGTCCAGTTGAGTGATGGGTGAAAGGTGAGGAGGAAGGATAGGATGGCAGTCTCAGGATGGCAGTGACCATGGCAGTGTGCTCATCAGACCCAGAGAGCTTTGCCATCTTAAGAGAGCTCCCCGCTCCGAAAGGCTCAGGGTATTCATTGTCTTATGCTGTGAGCTCTGCACACAATGCTACTCTGAGTACAGCACCCATGGCAATCTCTGGCCCAACTCTAGGATGGGTATAAGGAAGGATTTGGAGTCTCCAGCTAGCCTGGACAATGCCAAAGAAGTCTGGTCCTCAGCCTCCCCAGAGTGGGATGGCTGCCCCTGCCTGGCTGGGTACAGCTGGACTTCTGACATGGGCATGAAAAGTCACCTATGAGCTCCACAGGTGCTGGGTTGGGCAAGTGACTCATTCCTTTATGCACTCGTTTATTTAACAATTGCTTGTCCTAGGCATTAATTCTAGGTCCCAGGGATATAGTAGGAAACCACACACAAAGTCCCTGCACCTCCCTGCATCTTAGTGAGTATGTATCTTAGTATTGCTGTACTAGATCTGATTTGTTTTGTTTATCTGTGCATGCACTCATTTGTTTATTCAACTACGTAATACTTACTGAGCAGCTACTAGGATTTGGGAATATAGCAGGGAAAGAAGCAGATAAAAATCCCCATTCTATGGAGTTTACAGTTGGGTTTTAAGTTTTTTTGTTTGAAGTTGGGATGAAGCAACCTAAGGTATGGTTCCCCAAGAGGTGCTTCACCAACGAAGGGTCCCACAGTCTAAAAGTTTGAAAATGTTTTATACCAACCTTGCCAGATCTCCCAAACCTTGGAAGATCAATTAAACCTCACAAGATCAATTAGCATGTTAAATCTCTAAGGAGTCTAGACAAAGTTTAATTAACTTTGTTCAAGTCAGCTTTCCCACATTTATTTGAAAGTTTTGTTTGGTTTGCTTTAGTTTGGATTTTTTTGGATATTACAGTCTACATGAATAGCGTTTCATAAAATATTCTTTAATCCAGAAACACTGGATTAAAGACTTGAAATTTTAAAAGTAAAATAATAGAATTAAATGTTAAATAGAATTAAAAATTGATTAGATCATGGAGTGATAACTTTCTAAGCTTGAATCTTCTGATAGAAAATCACATAGGAAAAACAAGACACAAATCTGATTGCATACATTTTTAAAATGTAATGTATAATAATAAAAATAGGCAGACTAAGGGAAAATATGAATTAAATGTGATAACAAGGAAGTTCATTGCCATCATATTTTGAAAGTCCCTTTTTAATGGATGTTGCCAGGTACCTTGTACAGCATAGGTGATCAGTAAATAGTTCTTGATTAAAGAGTCAATGATAAATAGACAAAGGCTATGAATAGACAGTGTATACTTAAGCAAATTTTAAAAAGTAAACACTAAAAAGAAAAAGCAAGCATTTGCAATAATGCTCCTACTAGCTTTTAAAGCAATGTGAATTAATTATGCTGCACCCACTGAATTAGTAGAGAAAAAAAAAGTCTATTATAAAAAAAAAAAGTATGAACTTAGTCACTAGTATTGAGCAGAAAGTAAAGTAGGAGACTCTTTTTTTAGAAAGGAATATGGTAATCATTATTAAGATCCAGAAAATTGTTCCAACTTCTTGGCCCGGTAATCCTGCCCTAGGGAATCTACCCTAAGGAAATAATCCGGGAGAAGAAATAAATCTCTGTGCAACTTGAATATTGTGGAGTAAGTAGGCCAACCAGAGCGGGTAGGCTGTTCCCCTTTACTTCTACAAACACATTCACTTTTACAACTTTCTTTTTAAAAAGATCTTAGTAAGTAAAAGAAGTTACTGCATCTTTTATTGCCCTCCAGCCAGCTGTTACCCGTGGAGCATGTTCTCTGTGCCGAGCACTTTATGTGCAGAGCTCGGGTCGTTCTTCCCCTCCTGTGGCAACCTTGAGGTCAGCACTGATACTGAAGCAGCCCCTCCCTCCCAAAGAAGCTCCCTGATCCTGGGACGTGAGTCTAGAGCAACATCTTCAACTGTGGGGGAGCAGAGAGCCCCAGGCCCAGGAGTCAGGTGGCTGCTCTAAGGGACTCTTGGTGCGTGGTGAGGGTCTGGACTTGGCCACAGACTGGCCTTGACTCCCGCACTCTGGACTGAGAGGCACTGGGCGTGCCCCTCCGTGAACCGGGACTAACCAGGCCCCTGGCGTGGGGCTCTGCAAGTGCAGTCAGCGAGTGCACCAGCACGGGCCTGGCACTCGGGGAGGCAAGTTCTAGAGCACTTTCCTCGTCTCGTGCAGCAAGGAGTGGCCCCAGGAAGACTTTCTCTGGGCATTCTAGATCAGCTGGGGCTCAGGACACCTGACAGGACATCTCAGGTTGGGGACTAGACAGAGGTCCCAAGTCACACTGGGTGGCACCACCTTTGTTTCTCCAGCTTTGTGATCCCCCAACCCTCTTGAAGGCAACCAGCCACCCGCCTTCAGACACCCAGGCCTCAGCTCTGGGGCTCCCCTTCCCTCTCGCCCGAGCTGCCCGCAGACTTTATTTCTGCTGTAGTGAAAGAGGGAGCGCGCGCTCTGGCTCTTTCCAGCTGCCTACCCCGATGTCTGCTGGGCGTCTCCCACCCAGTGTCCACCTCCAACTCCTGATGTTCCCCTGAAACAGGCTCCACCCTTGGCCTCCACAACTCTGGAAACCTCTGGCCTGGGCCTCAGCCTGGGGAGCGCGCAGCCAGCTGAGGCTGGGGAGGCCTCGCCGGCGTCCAGCCGTGGTTCAGGAGGGAGACCTGGAAGGAGAGAGGACGACATTGTGTGTCCTGCTGCCTCTTCAGAGCCTTTTGATTGTGAGAAGGGAGTTTTGATTTTGCTCCTGAGGGGCGTCGCCTTCACATACATGTCGAGGCAGAGGTGGCAGGTGGGGCTTGGTGCCCCTCCCAGGGACAGACCTGAGGTTGGCAGCACAGAGCAGATCCGGGGGGGTGTGATGCTTTTCAGATACCAAGGCCCGGGCCACCGACCTGACACATAGCCTCTGTCACCTTCTCACTGTCCCCTGCTCTGGGGTCCTGACACTAGAATCCAGTGGCAGGTTTGCGACGGGGATGGGGAGGTGGATGCTCTACCCACCAGAACCTGGGGGAGGGTGGGGCCGCCACGCCAAGGCATGTGGGGGCTTGACGTAGCTTCGACCTCACAAGTCTAGTCGTCCTGTGACTGAGACCAGGAGAGGCTGCCTGCCAGCCGCAGGGGGCCAGGGAACATGGACCCACTCCCAGATAGAGAAGCCAATGCTTCCTTTGCTGGGGACCTAGAAGTGCCAGACAATTAGGTCTCCTCTCCTCCCAGCCCCAGCCCACGCTAGGCCCAGCAGGCCAGGACACTACCCCTGGCTGTGGGGACGCCACCAGGGACTCACGGCAGTTCCTGCCACCCCTGTCTGCCCTGAGGTGGGCTGTACAGGGATAGTTTGCTCAGCACTGGGGTCAACTACTGCCCGGACTGGGAGTGTGAATGGGAGGGAAGGACAGTGGGCCCAAGACTACTTCCTTTCTGCTCTACTGGGTTGCTCTTGGGCCTTGCCAGAGACTGAGAGTTGTCCCTGCCCACTTCATTCGGAGAAACCCAGGTGTAGGGCCTGGCTGTGCCCAAAGTTGGAGGCTCAGAGTTGGCCAACTGCGATGCCTATTAGTGGCAGAGGAGAAGAGGGAAGAAAAGAGTCGGGGTCTAAGAACTAAGGCTTCGGATGTGCTGGTGTTAGCAAAAACCCAGCTCTTTGCTCCTCTGGAGCCTGTGGGGCTGCAGGGAAGATGTTGTGTGTGCCCTACCCCTGGCCTCAACGGAGGAGACCCTGGTGCTTGGAGGGAGCTGTGTGACGAGGCCGATGCCAGGTTGTGGCCTGAATGTGGCTGGCGTTTCCCTGGTGTGTGGCCCAGGGTGCAGGGTGAGGGCTATGGGGGAACAGGCCGAGGTTTGACCTACGTCCACACCTGGAGTGTGTCTTCCCTCAGGTTTGCTTTTCGTTTAATTTATTGGTCTTTGCACCAAGCTACTGCCAAGGCCAGGCAGGGCCCTTTGAGTCACAGTGTCTGTCCTGGGTTGTGGTCAGCGGAGGGTGTGTCTGTGTGTACGCGCACCTGCACGCAGACAGGGCCTGGGACACCTGGCCAGAACACAGCAAGGCAGGACAGCCATGCCCTCGGGTGGAGGGTGGGCCTGCAGGCCCAGGGCCGTACACCGATTTATCTATCCCCAGAAGGTCCCCGACACTCCTTTCCTGTTAGTGCACCCTGAGGACTCACTCTCAGCAGCCCCAGGAAGGCATCTGTGTCTTTGTCTCTAAAGGGCCACGCCCTGCAAAGGACCTTAGCACTGACACACACAAATCTCCCTCCGAGAGCCGTCGCAACATCCCCTGCAGTGGGTGGGAGGACCCCCAGCCACGGGACCCTGCCCAGGGCCCTCCCCTGTCCTGCTGAGGGGAGGCGGCGTCCACGTCCTGGCTATCTGCCCATCTGTGCGTGGAGGCTCTGCGCCCCTTCCCGGGCTCTGCTCTGTGTCGGAGAGGTGCAGCCCTG